AAACAGTTGCAATCGCGTGCGATACAGTAGGAAAACGCTTCTCACGGAACCACGAAGTGGCTGCGTATTATTGGACAGCGAACGAACGCTTGAGCGAATCCTCCGCGAAACGGAAGCGACGGCTAATAAACAAAGAAGCGGATTAGCGACCATATCGGCCCTTGATGCGCTTGGATTATGCCACAAGGCGGCGGTGGTGCGCGGATTACAAGTCAAGTGCTGGTAGCTGACTTTAATGACCACCAGCGATGAACCGTTCCAATCAGACGGCCATAACCAGAGGCACCAGACGAGCTCTTATGTACACAACGCAATGACACGTGCCCCAGATTTGGGTGCCATACAGTTGTGGGCCGGTTGTGGGTAGATGGGTGGGTCGAATCAAGTTTCGCGAGTTTGGCCGCGCGCACGCGCGCGCGCGCTCGTTCATCGACGGCTTATAGTCGAAGTTCGAAGTGGGCGGGACTCACGATAACGACCACAGCGATTGGGCGAAAACGACGAGCTGTCGACAGTGATTAGTCAGCGCAGTGGCTAACTAAGCGAATAGTTAAAAAGCTTAAATCGTAGCCAGGTCTTTCCGCCGAATTCAACGCCGAACAGTTGTTTAGTAAGCTGTTGCTGGTTTTTGTCAACAGCCTTGGCCGAGGAAAGCGACATTCGAAAACCAACTGACTGAAAACGAAGGCTACGTTTATTTACGAGTTTCACGAAACGGCTATCTTGTGGCAAGGTGAGCATTAGCAGTTGTTACATCAAGCGCACCATTTGTGCATACAGTTGCGTGAGAATCGACTTTATGTTTATAAAAGTTTGATATTTCTGCTGGGACGCCTGTTATCCACTCCTTGAGGCGATTTCATAAAGAACAAGCTACGCCGTGCTCGTCCGGAACACATGTTTTCTAAAGTCTCTTTCTTCCGTCAGTTTGTCTCCTCTCATTGCGCATCACCTCGTCTGTTGCTGCGCTATTCATCAATACAAGCTCTCGGCGGCGATATATCTTGACTACGGAACAAGGATGGGCGCCGCCGCCATAGTGGAGCATGGAAGTGCGCGTCCAAGCGCCATCACAGTTCCGAGTTCGAGTTCCTCTGACCCAAGTAAGACACCGACCATAGTGCAGTGACGATGACCTGCCCGTGCTTGACTGTGACGCGAATGACCGGCCGTATTTTTAGATGAATTCGGACATGGGAGGATGTCAGTACGATCCACTGTATGGATATACGCCAAACATAAACCAGAACTCCCGTCTCTCTTCCACGGCTGAATTCACGAACCTCGCCCCGGCCGGCAATACCATGGCATCCTTCACAACGCAGTCGCCGGCGGACTACACGACGCTGGCAGCGAATCCGTACGAAACGACGCAGCTCTACCACCGATATCCGTACTATCATCCCTATTCAAGCGGTCCGCCTACGTTCTATCCAGATTTGTCGTCATTTACGGGTACCATATCTTCGAATGCTTCCAAGCAACAAGAGTACTCCACGATGCAGGCGACGATTCTCGATTCGGCCAACTCCATCGAAGGTCAGAACAAAAAGTCATACCTTACACAAGGTGGCGGTCATAATGAGCATAGAGTGAAGGAGGAAGCCCTCGAAGACAACGGGCATCCAAAAGAGCCCCTGCCCGTGGGTGATCCAGAGGAACACATTCCGCATATCCTAGCGCCCTCGGCTGACGGCCATCAACCTCGACGATGTCTGTTGTGGGCATGCAAAGCGTGCAAAAAGAAAACCGTTACCATCGACCGGCGCAAAGCCGCCACGATGAGGGAACGGCGACGCTTGCGCAAAGTTAACGAGGCGTTCGAAATACTGAAGCGCAGAACCTGTGCCAATCCAAATCAAAGATTGCCGAAAGTAGAGATTCTACGTAACGCCATCGAGTACATAGAAAGCCTTGAAGAAATGGTCCATGGTGCTGGAAAGCTGAACAAGAATTTGTGTCCCGGTATCATCGCCACTTCGCTGA